CGACCTAACGGCGTCGTTTGGTAATTCTCCAGACACGAACTGTAATATCAGGAAACTTATTTTGTAAGCAACTATTACGAATTAGTTACGTAAAAATTATAATTTAGCAATATTGTGTGTACACGTATCAATTCTGAAGTCGTAGAAATTCAGAGATCTAAAAATATTGTAATTACACAGAAGATAATGAGTATTTGAGGTCCAGAAGCCACATTTTGAAGAAGTGACGTATCACAAAACGACATTTACAGATGGAAGGGAACAGGAGACAAAATCCGTTCATTTGTCTCAACTCTTCCAGAAAAAACGAGCGCTCGCAATTCAGCTGAGGCCATGCGGGCGGGGGCTAGCGTAAAATGAAACAGTCAACTGGGAAGAGGGGGAGATTGAGGGCGTGGTCAGCGCCGGCAGCGAACCTGTCGGAGGGAAACCGAAGTTGTGTGAGACACGACAGCGGGCGCGCGGGGCCGCACGACATTCTGAGTGGCGAAGGGACTTGTGGGATTAAGCAGTGTGGCACCGGCTTTATAGAATGAGGCGTGGAGTTACAAGGGGCGGTGACGGCGTCGGAATCGACAGGATCAGCGGCGATTGGGAGATGGCACGAAGACCGACACTGGCGTGTGGGAACGGTGGAGTGGCGGTAGACTGGGTGTGGGTGGTGAAGACTGGTAGCGGCGGACACCTCCGACGGACCGGTAAGTCAGCGTGAGAGGGTGACAGAACGGGCCAGACGAGTGCTCGCAAGTAAGCGGCTGAGGTAAGGGTTGGAAAGGGCGAAGAGGGGAGAACGAGGGATGCAGCGGCTGGTGAAAAGAACAATAACTAAACAACTTCATCGAAATGACGAAATCTAGGCAAGTGACCCGTGATATTGGCATACTGATGCTGAGATCGTGCGTCATTACAGCAAATGATACTGCAACTATAGCCCGTTTGCCTTTTAGTTTATGGTGCATGAACTTACAAACTTTTCCGAAGTAAAGGAAGAATGCTCTTTCTGCCGTTTTAATTTTTATACTCTTACGCCGGGAATATTTTACCTGCTTCATAGCAGGAACCATTTTAAAAATAATTATGTAACAAACATAGCATATATTTACAACAAATTTTAATTATACAAGATGTCTAGGGAGCGGGAGGTAAATTCGAAAATAATTTCTCAAGACATTGCTAAGCATATTTTATAAAATATACTACTATATAATTCAAATGATTGAGCTGCAACAAATGCTCAAAAGTTTTTTTTGTTGTATCATTAAAAATTGTATGTGTAAATGAAGAGTGACGCATATTTCGAATAACGTTTTTCCTGTAGACACGCGTGAGAAGTCTGACTATAGTAAAATTGTATTTTAAATCGTTCTCTTGGACTCATTTAACCACTTTTCCTGCATCATTGTAATTTCAGTACTTATGAACTTGGCCAAATTAAGTATCACCAATGGAACAAATGTTTGCAACCAATGTGACCGTGAGAGTCGGAAGTACAAGCAAACCTCGATCACAAAACATCGATGTTAAAAAACATCGCCGTTAATACATGGATGTTTAGTAGAAACACTCCAATGATTTCATAGAAACCGATGTTTCGAAAAGCATCGACATATCCCAGCCGCTCCCGGAGAAGCTCGTCTGCCCGGCGGGTTGCCTATCCCATCCTCCTATATCCTCTACCTGTTTCATTCTGCCACCCTCGTGATCTACTTGACTCTTTCTCCCGCCCGCGCTACACTTGACTCATCATGCCGCTTTTCACGCTCAACTCTACTAATTCTCATAGACGCTCCACCTACGTCAGCGTCCTCCAGTCCCTCTTTCTAGGCTCGCTCTTTCCGCTTCAACGTTGTTCGCGCCCAGTCCATCTCAAACCAACTGCTCTGCTTGTCTCATCGTTCCTGCCGCAAAGTCTGTCTAGTTATCCCATCCGTTCTACCTACGTCTTTTTAGCCGAGTCCAAACTAACCAATTCCTCATCCGCTCTAACCTCTTCATCTGTCTAGCCGCAATTTACGTTTCATTTTCTCAACAACTGTACCAGATGGACCTTCCCGACAAACTGATAAACATGAACACTATCAAATTAATATTTTTTCACACGAATTTAATGTAAGAGCTTACCAAACCAGCTTAAAATCAACGATGTTGAATAACCTCGATGGTTTTTAGTCGATGTATCATAAACATTGATATTTCCATTTTGAATATCGATGTTTACAATCATCGATGATTTGTTATCTATGTCGCATCACTAGTCGGAGGGTGTACCCCACTAGGACGTAGTGGGCGGGTGCAAGAAGAGCGGCAGCAACGATATACCGAGTCCAGCAGTTGGAGGTTCGAGATAGGTACGCGTGGAGGCGGATAGAGCAGATAGGCAAACAGACCGCCAGGACGAGCTCAACAGGGAGGGCTTTGGGTGGACGCAAGAAGCGCGGCAGTAACGATAAATGTAGTAGAGGAGTTGTAGGTTTAAGATAGAGGTGCACAAAGCGGATAGGCAATCGGTCCGCCAGGAAGAGTTCAACAGGGAGGGCGGTGGACGGGTGAAAGAAGCGCGACAGAAACGTTAAATTGAGTAGAACAGTAAGAGGTTCGAGATGAAGGCGGACACAGTG